TAGTGAAGGCCGGGTCAGCTGTAGATGACTTTATCGCCCAATTGGTGCCACACATGGAGTCCGGAGATATCATTATAGACGGCGGGAACTCAGAATACACGGACACTGAGCGCCGGTGCAAAGAGCTTCGGGCGAAGGGATTGCTGTTTGTGGGGTCGGGTGTTAGCGGTGGCGAAGAGGGCGCTCGATATGGCCCGTCATTGATGCCCGGCGGACATCCAGAGGCCTGGTATGTATGAGTTAAATACGTTTATAACTTAATGGCATTTCAAAATTGATTAACTTTTTGATTATTACGTGATATATATAATTGATTTGAACAGAATATTCTTTATAATATAAATATTATTTATTAAAAATAACTTTAATTTTTTTATATGTGAATCATTCTTAACTGAATAATTTATACTGTAATAGTGTAATACTGCTAATGTGATAATAATACAGTATTAATTGAATGTATTTTACTAACTGTCCATTTAGGCCACACATCAAAAACATATTCCAGAAGATAGCGGCTAAGGCTGACGGTTAGTGAAGGCCGGGTCAGCTGTAGATGACTTTATCGCCCAATTGGTGCCACACATGGAGTCCGGAGATATCATTATAGACGGCGGGAACTCAGAATACACGGACACTGAGCGCCGGTGCAAAGAGCTGCGGGCGAAGGGATTGCTGTTTGTCGGGTCGGGTGTTAGCGGTGGCGAAGAGGGCGCTCGATATGGCCCGTCATTGATGCCCGGCGGACATCCAGAGGCCTGGTATGTATGAGTTAAATACGTTTATAACTTAATGGCATTTCAAAATTGGTTAACTTTTTGATTATTACGTGATATATATAATTGATTTGAACAGAATATTCTTTATAATATAAATATTATTTATTATAAAATAACTTTAATTTTTGTATATGTGAATCATTCTTAACTGAATAATGTATACTGTAATAGTGTAATACTGCTAATGTGATAATAATACAGTATTAATTGAATGTATTTTACTAACTGTCCATTTAGGCCACACATCAAAAACATATTCCAGAAGATAGCGGCTAAGGCTGACGGCGAGCCCTGTTGTGATTGGGTGGGCGATGGAGGTGCCGGTCATTTCGTCAAAATGGTGCACAACGGCATAGAGTACGGCGATATGCAGTTGATCTGTGAGGCCTACCATCTCCTAAAAGAGACGCTGGGATTAAGTCACGACCGAATGGCCGACATATTCACCGAATGGAACAAAACAGAATTGGATTCGTTTCTCATCGAAATCACGAGAGATATACTCAAGTTTAAGGACTCGGATGGCGAGCCACTGGTCACTAAGATTAAGGACTCGGCCGGACAGGTATAGTGTGACTTAAACCGTGCTGTCAAATACTGGTGCTATTCATGAGGTTTATTATATGGAATATTCTGTGTATTTGTATGTATAGAAAGGGACGGGCAAATGGACGGCTATATCGGCGCTGGATTATGGAGTTCCCGTTACACTGATCGGGGAGTCGGTGTTCGCAAGGTGTCTGTCCTCTCTGAAGGAGGAGCGGGTCAGCGCCAGTCGTATTCTGAAAGGGCCGGCGACTACTAGATTTAGTGGCGATGAGACACAATTCATCGATGATATTAGAAAAGTTAGTATTTTTTATGTCAATTCTTAAGATTAATAATTAAATATAATATTTTTTAATCTAATAATTTAGTTTCTGAGTTTTAAATGTATCTATAGTATAGATACATATTATATAGATATAGATATAGATTCTATACAGTATTGTTGGCTTTTTATCTTAATATATTCTTAAGTATATCATACAATTAGTACCGATATTAAGATTTTTAAATATAATATTCTTACCGTTATGAATCATAACTTATAATTATTTATACGGGTAATATGCTAATAATTTTTCACATCCACATCCTTGATATAATTACTACAGTATAATAGAATTATTAAGAATTCAAGAATATTATGAATTATAATAAATAACAATTATATTGAATGTCAATTTTGTAGGCACTGTATGCGTCGAAAATCGTGTCGTACGCCCAGGGATTCATGTTATTGCGAGAGGCGGCCAAACAGTTTGGTTGGGACCTGAACTACGGAGGTATAGCCCTCATGTGGAGGGGCGGCTGTATTATACGGTCCGTGTTTTTGGGTAACATTAAGCAGGCGTTCATCGATAACCCCAAACTGGCGAACCTATTGGTCGACGATTTCTTCAACAAAGAGATCACCAAATGTCAGAACTCGTGGCGACGAGTGGTCTCGCAGGCCGTCCTGTTAGGCATACCGACTCCCTGTTTCAGTACAGCGCTGGCCTTTTTCGATGGCTACCGTTCCGCTACACTGCCGGCTAATCTGATTCAAGCTCAGAGGGACTACTTCGGCGCCCATACCTACGAGTTGGTGTCCCAGCCGGGGAAATGGGTGCATACAAACTGGACAGGAAAGGGAGGCAATGTGTCGGCGTCCACTTATAACGCTTAGTGAATGGAATGTATGTTTTAAAATAATATGTCCAAAAGTATTTTGAAATTTAGTCTAATTTTTAAATGTTGAAAATTGTGTAAAATAAGATTTCCGGTGTTTTTCACTATCAAATTTGTATCAATTTAAATCTGTATCTCAAAATTAATATAAAATTATTTGTTTTTATGTTTTCATAGTTTTGTTAACAGAACTTTTAGTATATAATATTCCAATATTTGCATATATTCATCGAATAAATAAATTCTTTAATTTTTTAATTAACTTTATTAATAATTTATCTTTAAAAATAATATTACTTGTTCAATTATTCAATTATGATCTATTTAGAAAATTACTACCTATATCATTTTTCTATACAATAAGTATTTAATACATAAAATGAATGTTAGAGATAATAAATGAGCGATAATTCAACATACATTGATTTTAATTAATTCATTTGCAATGATTTGTATTTAAATTACATTTTAAAACTAAAAGCGCAATACATTCCTTAAGTTTTTAATTGAATGCATGGAGTTGTCTATGAGATGACGAAAGGCGTCCCATTTGGTGGGTTTGTACCAAACGCCACAATTCCGTCGTTTGGCTTTGCTTTGACTAGAAGTCAGGTTTTTATGCAACTCTTTATAAGTTTTGTTTCTATACAACGATTGATCGAAAGGCAGGACAGACGCCAATCCTCTTTCCATGAGCTCTGCGTTGAGGCTCTTCTTAAATAAAGCCTTCTTTTCGAGCGAAACAATACATTTGATATCGTCTTCGTGTTTGTCAACAACTTTAAACCAAACCATTTTGTTCTCGACATTCAGTTTAAGCCAAAACGTGCCCGAAAGGGACGGATTCATCGCTGCAAACGATAAGTTTAAGAGTCGCTCTGCAATGCATTTACGGTTAATAATTATCACATTTGTAAGGCTTTGAAGGCAAATATATTGGACTACGGGTACCGTACCGTCATTTACTTTCCTATGCCATGGCATTGATATAATGGGAATGTGATCGACATTAAGGCTACCATCAGTGGATACACTTTTGACAACTCCTCTCAAAGCAATATGTTTTTTAATAAAAGATTTGGCAATTTTATTGTTGTCGTAGAATTTGGTTGCCTTAAAATGATTTCAACATTCAATTTATTGAATTGCTTTATTTTAATTCATTCATTCATTGACTCACAAATCGTATACTTCTGAAAGCAATTCCCGCTCCAACCAATCCAAGAGCACCGATAGATAACTGTTTTATTGATTTTTTAATCAAAACTTTGTCTAAACTCATTTCCCAATTCTTACCCTAACTTCCATTAAATGGTTGTCCATATAATGGTTAAGACTCTCTATGAGTGACTGCAGATCTGTCTTTGAACTCATTGTTTAATCCAAGTCTTGATTCTGTGGTAAGAAATCAAAGATTGGACAATAAAATCATGTCTAAAAGTTTAGAAAAAAATTAACATTTATTTACTGCACAAAAATTATATATACGGTATCA